TGTCTTTAGCCCATTGGCTCTGAGCTACTCTACTATTAGCTTAGACTGACTGCTGTAAGGTAAACCCTTCAGTGTCCGAACAAATTTATTCCTTCTGCTTCTCGTTGAAAATAATTCCATATCTCCAGACTCTCTTTTGCTTTGTATTAACCCATAACAGCTCGCAGCCTTTGCCTCTGCACCGAGTGCAGTCGCCTCACCATGTAACCTAGAACCTCCCCCATGTGCTATTAGCAAAAAGCCCTCAGATCTGTAGGGCCTGTCCAACAACAGCGTCCTGCATGGAGAGAAAAAAAAGCACCCTTGAGCTGCTTCTCTAGGCTCCAGCTCAGCCAGTTCTTCTCTTTTCACTGACACAAGCAGCAGTTCAGGCTTCTTGCCCAGACATCACTACTCAACCCCAAACTCAGCCAGATTTCTTCGAACTTGCTTCGTTTGCATCTACTTGCCTTCTAGCTTGATGCTGTGTTAATCATTTACTTCTGCAGCAGGGCTGGAGTTGCTCTCAGCTCCTCTTCTCACTGCTGCACTGGTACATGCATCTGGTTCTTATGGTTTCAGTGCAAAAGATGTGGTTTGATTTCTGCCTTCTATTGGTAGCTTATCAGCAGAGGTGCAAAGGTAAATGTCTGGTGAAGAAAATTCAGGTCTTATTAAGCTGATTATAAAGAATGTTGTGCCTTAGCTCTACATGTAAATGGGAAACTTAACAGGCCTTCTGGAGCTATAGGTTTAAATCCAAGACACAGTGCTGACTGCAGCTGACCTGAACTGGAAGGTGCATCAATCATCGGACTGCACAGAAGGAAGAGCTGGCGCAGGAAACTTGGTCTGTCTTTGGAGAGCTGTGCTGCGTCACCGCCTCTGCTGAGGGTTCCTTGGTGAAGTCAGTCTGGTGGTTTGAAGCAAACTTCTTATGGATGTGTCTGCCCGTGAGGTGTTCCTCAGCTTGGGGGAATTCAACCCAAAACCCGGGGCAGTGACTAAAGAAGAGAAAGCACTTGTTCTGGTGCATGCCCCAAGCTGCCTCTTCTGGTTCCCTCAGCCTTCTAACCTTCTGCAGAGGTGATTTTGCTGGTTCTGTAGCAAATGCTGAATCACAGCAGTTCGGTTGAGTGTATTTGGCGTATTTCTAAAACATTTAAATTGCAGTTGTTCACAAGTAGAAAAGCCCATGTAAGAAGAGACAGGTGAACAACTTTTACCCCTGGGTATCTTGGGACAGACAGCAGTGCATGAACATGTGGACTTTCTGTGAGATACTACATGTACAGGTGGAGAGCCAGATAGGCTTTTAAAAACGATTCCTTAATAGGTTTATGCTAACTCATATCTGTTACAATGGCATGGAGGGATAATATTTCTATTGATACTTTACATGCAGTTTGCAGCCAAGCTCAATATGCAGTTTGGGTGATACATCCCTTTGGTCCTCTACAGATCTAAGAACCAAAATGAGAGACCACCAAGATCTGTGTGTTTTTTTTAAAGAGATGCAAAGACACGAAGGCAGATAATGAATTGAAGATGATGCCTGGCTGATAGCAAGTAAGGAGTCGAAAGCTGCTAATAGAGTTCAGTGAACAGTCATGTATTTTTATTAGCTTGATTATACCCAGTAAAAAGCCATGCCCTCATAGCTTACAGCTGTGATGATGCTGTCCAGAAGTTGGCAGGCAGGAGAATTTAGGATGTGTCCGTTAACTGGGCTTTCTTTTACATGAAACATACCCTCTAAAGAGGGAATGTGCTGTATAGGCAGCAATATTGGGATGGAGTTCCTTTCTTTGCAGTGCTTAAACTGCTGGGAACTTGTTAGATTCATGAATTTATGAATGAAGTCTCTGATTACCTTCAAAGATGAGATTTCCTCTTTGCTTTCTTTTAAGACATCAGGCTGTGCAACCAGAGCTTGAACCAGTAGAGACTAGTTGCTGCAGTCAGTTGTGTGATGGTCAGTATTGATCTGGGCCTGTGATGCCTGGATGCACACTGGGTCCTGAGGCTTGTGCTGAGCAGGGCGTACCCAGAGTGAGCACAGGTTAGAGTGTGTAGAGTTTGGCATTGGGGTTAAAAGAGATCAATGATGTTCTGTGATTCTGAACTACAGGTCAAAAATCAGTAGCCCCTACTCTGCAGGGGATTTTGTGCAGTGCTCAGGAGTGTAACTACAACAGTCAGTGTTGTAGTTTTATTTTCTGCGTGTTGATTTCCTGTGCAAATGAAGACTACTAAAAAAGCCCCAAACAAACAACAAACCAAAACCCAAACATAAGCTGCTTCCAGGTCTTCGCTACATTCATCTGCAGTGTCAGGAGGGCTTTGGCTGCATCAATCTCGCTGCAGGACCAGGGTCACAGTAGAGCACTGCTATTAATAATGTCAGTAGTTAGTAATGCCCAAATATATGTATTTTACTTTGCTTAGGATATTATTTTGCTCTGTTTTTCCTGCATTAGGATTCCACGCGGCTTCTCTAGTGAGGAATTTATTGTACGTGTGTTCATCTCATTGAAATGCTTTTTGAGTTTTGAATACCCATATCCTGACTTTCCACTACAGGTTTGACCTCTGTGGGCTTTCATAGCTATAAAACTAGTAATAAGTATTTAACCTGTGGATCATGAAATAATCATTTCATTTGAAAGAATAGTATAGCTGACAGGGAGTAAAATACAGAAAAACATTTCTGCTAGGTTTTCTGTTCAATGTTTAACACTATGTATTTAATCTTGGTGTGTGTCACATGCTGCATTCAACTACTGTGCTAGGGAAAATGCGTTTTTCAAGGAAATGCTTCCTTGCGTAATATGGCCTTCTATGGGGAAACAACAACAGATGTGTGCAGTCAGATCTTTTCACCTTCTTTCTACAAAACCATTTAAAAGAGCTGTGTGGGAGGGGAAGGTGACTGTGGAAGTAGGGAGACAATCTCAAGTTGTTGGAAAAGGATTTAAGTTTAGGGGGTAGTGCTGGGTCAGGAGGAGCACTGCCTGACAGTCTGGGTTACGGGAACGTGGCATGATGTAGAGCAAAGCTCCAGTATCTTGTGAAAACCCAAGATAAAATGATTGAGAACAAGGAGGAAACAGCTGTAGAGGATGCTACCAGGGAGGTGGTGATGTTCCTACCTCTTGTGAACTGTTTTGCAGAAGCACTTTATGAATTAAGACTTTGTAAGTGAAAACGTTTAGCTCAAAGTAAGTCAACAGGAGACTCCAGGATGAGGTGATAATAGAATTGATGCTTGTAGGAGAGAGAGAAAAGGTATGAACTTTTCATTTGCATGGTTAGAGCTGACTGTAGGATAAGATCAAACTGGTTTAGGTAAACGTAACTTATTAAAATGGGGCTACAGGTTGGACCTAGTCTGCCTAGAAACAGGTTGTGAGTAGATCTGCTTCCTCTGGTTGTCAAAATACAGCTTCACCTCGGTGACGAGGCTGCCTGCCATGGGGCAGAGTCTGGCACTGCAGGTACAGTGAGAGCCTTGCTGCTCCCCACCTTAGCACCTGGAGCTTGAACGAGACCACCCTTAATAGATCAGTGTTCCTTAATGTCTTTGAGTTCATAGGAATTTAAGTGTCAAGACTTTTCTGTCTTCCTTATGTGTAGATACATATAGTTGTATTATTCAGTGATTGCCTGCTGTTGTTCAGATACACTTATTTAGTCCCTAATTATGTCTTTTTCGATTAAGTATTGCGAAGGACTATGTTTGGAAGAACTTTGTTTCTCTCTGAATTTCTCTCTTTCCCAGCTTGTTTGCAGAAGAGGAGAGTAGCAAAGGGATTATTTCATTCTGTCTTTGTCCCAGGTTTTTATCAGCCCCTTGGCAAAAAATGCCTGAGAACCTCCAGAGTCTTTATCTCATCCACCTTCATAGCACCCTCCTGGGATGGGGGAGTGTTGTGGGGCCCATCTTGCAAGTCCCTGGGAAAATAATTGTAGATCATTTTAGGTAGTGGTAAGCTGGAAGCTGTACTCTGGCATCCTAAAGCTCCGGCTGGTATGTAAATCACTGCCTTTTCCTTTACCCAAGACTTCCTCAAACCCTCATTTATTATCTTAACGAAGGATTTTAGCATTTCTGAGGACCGAATAAAGAAAGAAGCATTAGTCTTAACTAGAAACATTGGTTTATTTTTTTTCCTCAGTTCTTGATTTGCAAGTGTAGTAAGGAAATATTTACATCAAACACAGAGCTGAAAAAACAGAACTCATGGTAGTCAATCAACATGTCCCAAGAAGGTAAGCTTAAAGTCCTCCTTAACCAAAGAAAGTGACAAAAATGTTTTTTTTTTTTACTCTTCAACCATTTCTTCCAGAAAGAAAGAAAATCCCACCTTCCTTTCTCAGGCAAAACTCCTACTGAAATTGGTGGAAGCGGGGCTAGCAGCAGAACAAGGGTAGCAAGAGGGAAAGAGTAAACCTTAGCCCCCAGGACTGTAAAAACCTAAAAAGTAAGGTCCTTTAATCCACGTTTACTTTCTCAGTGCAATCTTGTGTTACATTAGATAAAACAGTAAAACTCCTAGGAGATACGTGGCACTGCAAAAAGAGGGTGTGTTCAGTGGGGGCACCTATTTCTAAGTCACTTCATAGTAAATTCAACTTCTGGCTGCATTTTAGAGAGAATCTCGCACACCTTCGTGCAAAGGTCCAGCTAATATCCTTATTTCTCATCAGCTTATCACTGATACGTGTCAGCATCGAGATTGACCTGTTTTCTTTTACCTGAACCACAGAGCTCTGGCATTGTGAATAGAGGTGGTGTTCAGCCTTGGGAATTGATTTGAAAACCTCAGGTTTTGGAAGGAGCTGTGCTTTAGCACACAGTTCACAGAAGTGCCTGCTTGCTGTCCGTGTGTCTCTGCTCCATTGTGTCTTTTCAGATTTGTCAAGGTAAACTGTGTGAGGAGCAGTAGCATTATAAATCATGTAGGTGATGGGTTTATGCGGTGACAGCTCCCAGAAGACGATCCAGAAGGTGCAGGTGCTTATACGTGTCGGTTTGGCATGTTTGGCTTCACATTGGGCTTCCCGTTCGCAGGCCTGGAGACAGAAAAGCTTTTGATTTACTTTGATGTGAAAGGAATAAGAAGGCAATTAATGTATGGCTGCTGATCAGCTCACTGAGCCTTGATCTGCAGCCAGGGACCTCCAAGGGCAGGCTGCGAAGTGTTCCTAAATCCCCTTCGTGCTAGTGAAGGATCTGCCAACATTTCCACGAGTGGCAGCCAGTAGAAGGACTTCAAGATACACTCCTAATCAGTTGTTATACTAATTTTAAAAAAAAAAAAAAGCTTTTTAAAATTTACCTCTGGCTTCTGCACACTCCTGTGCTCTCATCAAGCCTTTTTCCGCATTCAGAAATGACTGAAGAAAGAAGAGCTCAGAGGTTTTTTAAGAGTTGGGGAAGCTGTTACCAATTCATAAGGACTTTTTCTTGTTGCAAACCAGTTCCCTGCAGAGGAGTTTAAAAGCAGCCTTTCTAGACTACCAGTGTGTTCCATGAATGATAGAAATTACTACTCTCCAGCAACTGATAGTATTATGCTGATTTAATGAGTTGGAGATTTGGCACCTGTTTTCACTGAAGATTAAATTGTGGTGGAAAATTAATCCCTCGGCTGCCAGCAAGGATCCCAGGCCAGATCCTGAGGTGCTCTTTAATTGAGTGAATTGCACTATTAACTTCCAAAGAGCT